AAAAAAAAAAAAGAGAGAGATAACTCAGTTGAATAAGTGCTTGCCTGGCAAGCACAAGGGCCTGAGTTCAATCCCCAGTTCTGCCAAAAAAATAAAATGAACAAAAATTTAAAAAGAATAGATCTCTAGGAGCTGGGGAAACAGCTTAGCAATCCAAGTACCTGCCTGGCAAGCACAAGGACCTGGGTTAAATCCCTGGTACCACATGCCATGCTGGCCCTGGGCTATACAGCGAGACCCATAAATAAATACAAGTTTTAAAAAAAAATAGCTCTTTCAGGAAAAAAGAGAAACTCAGATGGAATAAGATGGTTACTTTTTAACAGTTTAAAAAAAAAAAAAAAGATCTCTCCAAAACTCACTTTGGTCTCTTCTTAAACGGCTGCTGTGGTGGAGTAATTGCCTTTGGCTCTGGAGACTCTGGGGGAGATGGGTCACCACCAGGGAGCTCAGGAGGGAGAGGAAGGTCGGTGAGTAAATGGCGTGTCCTCTGTTCTTTCTCTTTCTTTACAGGTTTTGAAGGAAGAATTTCTTTTGGACTAAATAGAGGTATAGAGGAAAAAAGCACTTTAATTACTAAAAGGAAATGTGAATACAACTTTACAAGGAAGATTAAAATGTACAGATTAAAGGATTACAATGATTTTTTAAGGAAAAAAATAAAATTTAAAAACTGGGATATTACATATTATTTTTTTCATCAAATTTTTTTTTTTAATTTTTATTTGTGTGTGTGTGTGTGTGTGTGCGTGGCCAGCTCAGCCCACCAGGGGGCGGGGCTGGCTGACATGTGGTGCTGGGGGATTGAACCGCGGTCCCTGTGCTTTGCTGAGCTTGTTCTAAGTAGGCGCTTTAGACCACTGAGCCATCTCACCAGCCCCTACTTCTTTGGTAAGGGTTTTGCTTTGAAGCTTGGACTTGTAGTGATCCTCTTGTCTCAGCCTCAGCCCCGGCATTACAGATGTGTGCCAGTACACTTAGTTTTGGGGCCCTGCACATGTGCCTGGGGTGCATGATGTGCAGTACCAGGGATCTTACCTGTGCTTGCCAGGCAGGCACTTAGACCATCAAGCTATCTCCCCAGCCCTGAGGCCATACTCCTAAGCGAAATAAACCAGACCCACAGGTATAAACATTGTATTGTCTCCCTAGTGTGAAAATCTGAAAGAATAAACAAGAGCCAAAAGATACAATAGGGGCTGGTGAGATGGCTCAGTGGTCTAAAGCACCTACTTAGAACAAGCTAAGCTATGCAAAGCACAGGGACCGCGGTTCAATCCCCCAGCACCACATGCCAGCCAGCCCCGCCCCCTGGTGGGCTGAGCTGGCCACACACACACACACACACACACACACAAAATAAAGAAATAAATGTAAAAAAAAAAAAAAGATACAGCTAACTTGAAAATCAAAACCTAGTGAAAAAATATGAAATGTGATAGAAGCATACAGTGCACATTTAAAAACATGTTACAATACAGTGCCAGATGTGGTGGCACACACCTACAATACCAGCGCATGCGAGACTGAGGCAGGTGATCAACTTGTGTTTGAGGCCACCTTGGGATACACAGCAAGTTTAAAGCTGGCCTGAATTACATAGTGAGACCCTGTCTCAACAAAAAACAAAATTATTATAGTAAAAAACACGTTGTCATCTACCCCCCTCCAAATACCCGCTAACACACACATGCTTAAACATGCTTATCCAATCATCCTTGCAATTTTCTGAAGCAGTTCTGGAAGTCCTTTTCAGTGTAGTTGGCAAGGTGTTGTGACTGCCTCAATGTTCAGAATCAATTCAAACATTTAATTTCATGGTCATTTTGACTTTGGAGAAGAGCTAAGTCACTAGTGCCTGATAAAGACTATTCACGGCAATGTTTTCATAAGTTTGCCTTTCTGTACAGGCAGCATTCAACATATTTTTTATCCCATCTAATAGAAATTTTATGAAAGAAAACATCCAGATCTGCTTCTGAAAGTAGCCAATAACAGGATAAATATGTTCAAAGAGGAAGAAATACTTTGAGGGGGATTAACAGCAATGTGTCTTTTAGTGTAATAAATTTTTTAAAAACTTAAACATTCACTGTATATTTCAATCACCCTTTCCACCAAATTATTCTACTTTTTTAAAAAGCAGAAGTAGGCCGGGGAGATGGCTCAGTGGAATAAGCGCTTCCCTGGCAAGCGCAAGGGTCTGAGTTCAATCCCCGGTTCCGCAAAAAAAAATAAAAATAAAATAATAAAATAAAAAGCAGAAGTATCTCTCACCAAAGTAAGTAAGTCTCAAACTAAGTATCTAAGGAAAAAGAGTCCAAGCAACTATTTCACAATTATTAATGCAGCTGGTAGCAGGAGGGCACCTCAAATAACCATAAAATTATACTAGTCAGTGTACAAAATAAATAAGAATAGGTTTCTTACAATAGATTTTAAAAGTCTATTTTTGGATCCAGTTTTTTTTTTAACTATAACCATTTATTCATGAGAATATGCCACATACATCCTCAGAAAAGAGATCCTACAATGCAGGACACTAGTTTATAGCTACAAATAAATTCTACTCCCATTATCAGAAGGTTGAAAAGGATAAAATCCTATCCATTCCTCCACAGTTCCTTTTTGTGTGTGTGCAGGATCTCACTACACAGCTCAAACTCATAGTGATCCTCCTGTTTTCAGCCTCTCCAGCACCGGGATTACAGGCGCGCACCACCAAGCCGACTCCATCACTGGCTCAGTACACACAGGCACAGAGCAGGCATGGTAGGTGCTGCCAGGGATCAAACCCTGGCCCCTATGCTTGCCTAAGCAGGTGCTTAGTCCGCTGAGCTATCTTGCCAGCCCTCATAGTTCTTTTCTGATAGGTGGTAATAAGAAGATAGATGCTTTGCTTTAATACTTCCTAGAACCATAAGGAATATCCATTTTTTACAATATATCTTTTTAAGGTATACTGATGCTCTTTGTGTGTGAAACTCTGATTTTTTTTTCCATATGAGAGCTCATTCAAAATATAAGACAACAGTCTCAAGAGCTACATCCTTTTTAATCATTTTAAGCCCTCATAAGTCAGACATAACAACAGAATCTAGGTTACTTTATATCACATTACCCAGAATGGGAATAATCAATGGAGAATACAATAATCACCTGAAACTTCCTACTGAGTTACAGGTAGAGATGAACATCATAATCTGTACTCACGTTTTTCTAGCCCTCAACAAGATCTATTACCAGAAAACTCCTGAGTCAGGACTCAATGTATTTTTATTTCTTTTTAAAGTTTATTTATTTATTTATTGTGTGTGTGTGTGTGTGTGTGTGTGTACAGATCAGCCCACCAGGGGGCGGGGCTGGCTGGCATGTGGGTGCTGGGGGATTGAACCGCGGTCCCTATGCTTTGCTAAGCTCGTTCTAAGTAGGTGCTTTAGACCACTGAGCCATCTCACCAGCCCCCTCAATGTATTTTTAAAGATACTCAGAAATGGGCCCCAGGGAGATAGCTCAGTAGAATAAGCGCCTGCCTGGCAAGCACAAGGTCCTGAGTTCAATCCCTGGTACTGGAAAAAAAAAAAAAAAAGAAAAAGAAAAATTCATTTCTCAAATATCAGAATATTCTTTATAAACTTTAATGCCTCATGATTTAGCAATAGATTTTCTTGATTCTGCTTCACTAGAAGAAAAAAACAAATCCAAGAATCCAAACTGCCTCATGAATGTTACTGAAGTCAGGTTCAGTATGTCATATATTTAGGATGTTTCCTCCAAAGTCTACTTTATAGACTCCTTCTGAAAAACTACATATTTGTTGTACATTTCTTTCAAGAAGGAAGAACTATTTGATGGGATATGTGCAAGTTAAGGGTACATAATTTCAGTAGAGTCCAAATCCTATTTAACAAGTTCCAATGTATGAAAAATATTGAAAATTTAATGATGACCCTTAAAACTATGTATTTAATAATACTGCCATTATTCGTTAGTGTCAGGCACTAAGATGCACATACCTTTATATCATAACCAAGATGCAGATACAGGGTCTAACTTAAGGAAAGAGATATTTTATGTCAGTCAATAATTGAAGATTTGGGGCCAAGGAGATGGCTCAGTAGACTAAGCACTTCCCTGGCAAGCACAAGGGCCTGTGTTCAATCCCTGGTTCTGGCAAATAATAATAATAATAATAATAATAATAATAAATAATCAAAGATTTATACCAGGAATTGCTGACGTACACGTTACCAGCATCAGTTAATTCCTAGTTTCCAATCACACCTATATACAGGTTCCCATGTGGTAATTAGGTCACATAAAAAAAGTTTGCCAGAGTCCTGTCCAAATTTTATTTATTTATTTATTTATTTTACATTTCCTTTTTTTTTTGTGTGGAACCGGGGATTGAACTCAGATCCTTGTGTTTGCCAGTCAAGCACTTATCCTACTGAGCCATCTCCCCGCCCCTGTCCAAATTTTAGTCTTGGAAATTATAATGATCCGTGAGTACAGTGTAAATACTTGTAAGTCTTTAAACTGTAAAACATGAGGGCCAGCCAGATAGCTCAGTGGATTAAAGCTCAGGCTTAGGCAGACCCAGTGGCCAGGATTCATGAAGATATGCCATGTGGGCCTCAACCCAGGGGCTTAAGACTGGGTGTGGTGGCGCACACCTATAATGCCAGCTCTTAGGAGGCTGAACACAAGCAGAGCACTAGGAGTCCATCTACATAGTGAGACCCTGTACAAAAAAAAAACTATAAAACATGTCCTCAGGCTTGCCAGGCAGGCACTTAGTCTGCTGAGCTATCTCTGTAGCCCATGAGCTCAAATTTGAATGCTCATACAGATCCTTTATTTTCTACCAAGAGTTTCATATTTTAGAGACTCTGCTCTTAAGAACAATACAGTTGGGCTGAGGAGATGGTTCAGTGGAATAAGTACTTACTGTAAAAGAACAATACAGTCAGAGGGCTGGCCAGATTGTTCAGTCGACTAAAGTGCCTGCTGAGGCAGAACGCAGCAGCCAGAGTTCGATCCCTGGTGTGCCATGCTGGCCCCGCCCCTGGGGTACACTGAGACAGCGACTGAGACTGGGCATGGTGGCATGCACCTGTAATCCCAGCGCTTGGGAGGGCGAAAACAGGAAAATTACTGAGTCTGATCTACACAGTAAGACCCTGTAGACCCTGTCCTAAACACATTAAAAAAAAAAAATAATAATAATAATAATATAGTCAGGCCTGATGGTAAACAGCTGTGACCAACACTTGGGAGGCTGAGGCAAGAGGATGGCTGCAAGTTCAAGGCCAACCTGGGTTACACTGTCTCAAAAAAAAAAAAAAAAAAGAATAATACACTTAAGAGTGATATACACACTTGTGATCCCAGCACTTGGGAGGCACAGGCAGAAGGATCATCACAAGCTTGAGGCCAGCCTGAATTATATAGCAAGACCCTGTTTCAAAAAAACAAAATTTAGGGGCCGGGGAGATGGCTCAGTGGAATAAGTGCTTCCCTGGCAAGCACAAGGATC